TGTCAGTCAACAACCTTACAGTCTTACCAGAGGGGGTCACCCAGTTAAGGGAGCTGAACACGCTCAATGTGAGCTGTAACAACCTGGAGGTCCTGCCTGAGGGACTCTCTCAGTGCACCAAGCTCTCCTCCATCAACATCTCCAAGAATCGCGTCACCGGGTTTCCTGCTGAATTTTACTCTGAGAAACTGGACCTGCTCAGCACCGTGGTGGCCTCTGACAACTTAATCGAAGAGCTGAGTGGAGAGATTCACAAACTAGCTGCTCTGAAGGTGAACTCCATTCACAAAAATGTTGTTTTCCACCAATCAACAAGTGTAAACCTGCCTTAATTTCATTTTGCTCGACACATGGCTCACCACAATATGAGCCATGTTCACCAGGGCAGGAAAGCTCTTAACATATGGTTTAAGATGGCTTTCACTTTTTGCTAATATTATATGCTGGATAAACTGTCACTTTTTTAAACATGCTTTGTAAATAGAAGGTCCTATATGTGTGCCCGCTTGGTTGCTGTAAAAGCTTAAATTATGTACACTTAAACTTCAGGGTACTTTTTTAGAGTGTGAGACTCCTGTGACACTCTGCCCTTGTTTTTGTCTTCCTCCTGCCCATCTTTGCAGGTCCTGGATCTCTCCAACAACAAGCTGAGAGAGATTCCCTCCGATCTGAGTGACTGCCCCAAGCTGAAGGAAATCAGCTTCAAAGGCAACAAGCTGAATGACAAGCGTCTGGAGAAGATGGTCAACGGGTGCCAGACCAAGTCGATCCTCGATTACCTGAGAGGAAAAGGAAGAGGCAGACAAGGGGAAGATAAAGGTGATGCTGACGGAGGACGCAGCACAGACAAGAAAAAAAGGCAGCAGCAGAGGAAGAAGAAGGAGAAGGCATCAGATGAGCAGGATGAGGTGGAAGAGCTGAACAAGATGGTGGTGAGGGTTCTCCATGTTTCAGATGCTCCCACGGCACTTACAGTCAAAGTGAGTGCAGAGGTGAAAGATGTGAGACCCTACCTGGTGTGCTGCATAGTCAGAGGTATGAACCTAAAGTCTGGGAACGCTCTCAAACGGTTTCTGATGGCTCAGGTAAGATCCAAAACCTCACTACGATATTAATTCGGCATCACATCTGACACACCCAAATATGTGGTATAGAGTCCAGAAAGAATAGCTTTTTGTTTTTCCAGACAAAACTTCATGATGATTTGTGTGGTAAGAGGACCATAGCAACCATTGCAACTCATGATGTGCAGCAGCTCAAAAGTCCCCTTATGTATGATGTCAAACAACCTACCCAGCTCAAGGTACAAATGACAGAGAAGTCTTGTTTGTTAAACACTCTTTAAAAAAAAGACGCCTAATTTCACATGTTTATTCACCATTAGATTGTTGCGCTGGGTCGGAAGGAGATGACCGCTGTCGAGCTTATAAGGCATCTTCATCTAGAGGCTGAAGAGCTGAGGAAGCAGAAGAAGAGGCAGAATGTTACAGGCCTCCACAAGTCAGTACTGCATGTGACCTTTCCACACAGCACAAGCTTTGTTAACACTGGGTCAAAGATCTCCATTAGTCAGCCTCATAAAACCTTTGTGTTCAAGGCCCGAACCAATTTTAACCCTTAAGGACCCACAGTGACACTGGTGTCACTGCCCCTTTACACTTAGAGACTTGGTTATATATGATTCATTTGATATAAGACCCCCGTAATTTTCATGAAAGTAGAAATAGGTCTGGGCTCTTAAGGGTTAAGGACACAAAACAATTTATGTAAAAAAATCCAAGGGACTGTTTAGATTAGAGGTGTGCGAGATGGTGTTTAAACACATGAGGGCAGCAGAGGTGTGTCAGACCACAGAATTGGTTTGAGTATTTTGGCCTTGAGCACTAAGTATTGTTCTGTTTAACAAAGACAGGGGCAGTGACAAGACTTCAGCTGAGGTTTCAGAAATAAATACCAGAACACCTAAAAATGAGTTTTAAGTTCTGCAAGGTTAATGGTTTTAATTGCAGACAGACCTCTCACCTATTCTGTTGTCTCTGTCACCAGCCAAGCTGTTTTTGTTCTTTTTGTGTTGTTTTTAAAGATACCTCCAGCTTCTGCAAGGAAAGCCACTCTATCCATGTCTAGTAGATGCAGAAGGTGATGTGATTTCATTCCCACCAATCACCAACAGTGAGAAAACCAAGGTGTGTACATGTGGATATTCTCCCTATCTTATATTAGTCATTTACATTAATATTTACATTACTTTTACAGAATACAATGGATTTGATTTTTAGAGATATAACAAGTCAGCTTGCATTCTGTCCTGATTTAACAAGACAGAATTAAAGCTCATCAGAGGTGCTTATCAGCTGATGTTCTGTGCATCATTGGGCTGTTTTTGTGTCTTTTCGTGATCTGACAGAAATAATTACATGAGCTTTACTGTACAGATCAAGAAGACGACCAAAGAGTTGTTCGTGGAGGTCACGAGTGCGAGCAGCCTGCAGACCTGTAAAGATGTTATGGATGCTCTGATTGTAGTAAGTGCACTGCTCTTTTCTTTAGCGAATGATAATTTATCTCTGTATCACAACATGAGACAAGGATGCACAGTTCTGACTGTAATACTTGTTAGAGAGACCCTGAAGGAAAAACAGTGTCCTGAGGGTAGCAAGAGGAAACTCATTGAAGGTTCAGTTCTAAGTAAATTTAA